CCCTTATGTATTATACATGGAGATCATATCCCCCCTTATGTATTATACATGCAGATCATATCCCCCCCTTATGTATTATACATGGAGATTATATCCCCGCATATGTATTATACATGGAGATCATATCCCCCCTTATGTATTACACATGGGGATCATATCCCCCTTATGTATTATACATGGAGATCATATCCCCCCTTATGTATTATACATGGAGATCATATCCCCCCCTTATGTATTATACATGGTGATCATATCCCCCCCTTATGTATTATACATGGTGATCATATCCCCCCTTATGTATTATACATGGAGATCATATCCCCCCTTATGTATTACACATGGAGATCATATCCCCCCCTTATGTATTACACATGGAGATCATATCCCCCCTTATGTATTATTACATGGAGATCATATCCCCCCCTTATGTATTATACATGGTGATCATATCCCCCCTTATGTATTATACATGGTGATCATATCCCCCCTTATGTATTACACATGGAGATCATATCCCCCCTTATGTATTATACATGGAGATCATATCCCCCCTTATGTATTATACATGGTGATCATATCCCCCCTTATGTATTATACATGGTGATCATATTCCCCCCCCCTTATGTATTATACATGGAGATCATATCCCCCTTATGTATTATACATGGAGATCATATCCCCCCTTATGTATTATACATGGTGATCATATCCCCCCTTATGTATTATACATGGTGATCATATCCCCCCTTATGTATTATACATGGAGATCATATCCCCCCCTTATGTATTATACATGGAGATCATATCCCCCCTTATGTATTTCTACATGGAGATCATTATCCCCCCTTATGTATCATACATGGAGATCATATCCCCCCTTATGTATTATACATGGAGATCATATCCCCCCTTATGTATTATACATGGAGATCATATCCCCCTTATGTATTATACATGGAGAATCATATCCCCCCCTTATGTATTATACACAGTGATCATATCCCCCTTATGTATTATACATGGAGATCATATCCCCCCCTTATGTATTATACAGTTGCAAGAAAAAAGTATGTTGAACCCCTTGGGATTACGTGGAGTTTTGCATGAATTGGGCATAAAATGTGCTCTGAACGTCATCTAAGTCACAACAATAGAAGAACACAGTCTGCTGAACATAATACTAACAAACATTAGACGTTGCCATGGTTTAATTACACATAACATGTAAACATTCACAGTGCAGGGAGGAAAAAGTATGTGAACCTTTGGACTTAATAACTGGTTGACCCTCCTTTGGCAGCAATAACCTCAACCAAACATTTCCTGTAGTTGCAGATCAGACCTGCACAACGATCTGGAGTCATTTTGGACCACTCCTCTTCACAAAACTGTTTCAGTGTAGCAATATTCTTGGGATGTCTGGTGTGAATCGCTCTCTTAAGGTCATGCCACAGCATTTCAATCGGGTTGAGGTCAGGACTCTGACTGGGCCACTCCAGAAGGCGTATTCTGTGCTGTTGCAGCCATTGTTTTGTTGAATTACTTGTATGCTTTGGGTCATTGTCCTGTTGCATTACCCATCCTCTGTGGAGCTTCAGTTGGCGGAAGATGGTCGTACGTTTTCCTGCAAAATGTCGATAAACTCTGGAATTCATTTTCCCATCAATGACAACAATCCGTCCAGGCCCTGAGGCAGCAAAGCAGCCCCAAACCATGATGCTCCCTCCGCCATGTTTCACAGTGGGGATGAGGTTTTGATGTTGGTGTGCTGTGCCTTTTTTTCTCTCCACACATAGTGTTGTGTGTTCTTCCCAAACAATCAATCTTGGTTTCATCTGTCCCACAGTATATTTTGCCAGTAGTGCTGTGGGAACATCCAGGTGCTCTTTTGCAAACTTCAAACGTGCTGCAATATTCCTTTTTGGACAGCAATGGCTTCCTCCGTGGTGTCCTCCCATGTACTCCATTCTTGTTTAATGTTTTCCTTATTGTAGATGTGTCAACAAAAAATGTTAGCATGTGCCAGAGATTTCTGTAGGTCTTTAGCTGACACTCTGGGGATTCTTCTTTACCTCATGCAGCATTCTGCGCTGTGCTTTGCAGTCATTTTTACAGGACGACCACGCCTAGGGAGAGTAGCAACAGTACTAAACTTTCTCCATTTGTAGACAGTCTGTCTTACCGTGGACACATGAACATCAAGGCTTTTGGAGATACTTTTGTAACCCTTTCCAGCTTCATGCAAGTTGTCAACAATTTCTTGATCGTAGGTCTTCTGAGAGCTCTTTTCTGCGAGGCATGGTTCACATCAGACAGTGCATCTTGAAAACCAGTAAACCCAAAACAGGTGTGTGTTTTTTAAGGGGCAGGACAGCTGTCAGCAACACATCCAATATCATCACACTGATTGGAGTTTTCAAGGTTGGCTCACTCCTGGCTCCAATTAGCTCTGGGGAGAAGTCATTAAGCTAGGGCCTTCACATACTTTTTCCTCCCTGCACTGTGAATGTTTACATGTTATGTGCAATTAAACCATGGCAACATCTAATGTTTGTGTTAGTATTATGTTCAGCAGACTTGTGTTCTTCTATTGTTGTGACTTAGATGACGTTCAGAGCACATTTTATGCCCAATTCATGCAAAACTCTACGTAATCCCAAGGGGTTCACATACTTTTTCTTGCAACTGTACATGGAGATCATATCACCCTACGGTGAGCATGACCCCCCTTATGTATTATACATGGAGATCATATTCCCCCCCTTATGTATTATACATGGAGATCATATCCCCCCCTCCCCCCCCTTATGTATTATACATGGAGATCATATCCCCCCCTTATGTATTATATTACATGGAGATCATCCCCCCCCCTTATGTATTATTACATGGAGATCATATCCCCCCTTATGTATTATACATGGAGATCATATTCCCCCCCTTATGTATTCTAAATACAAAATTTATGGTGCAAATTGCACTGCACAGAATTTACGTGATTTGTGCAAGAATGCAGTGCGGTTCCCGTGCGAATCACATGCGATATGCCACACCGCACACAAGTGTGATTCCAGGATTAGTCATTCAGAATACATGACCTTGTTTATGTAAACATTCACACCTTTTATACACAAAACAGGGAAAATACAAGACATAAATTGTGGACGAAGAGGGTTTTCTTTCAGCGTTTTGGGGAATCCTGACCACAACCCAGCCGTGTGCGTGGGCCCTAGAAGCTGCCATACTGCCGAGTTCAGATCCATATAATACTGGACACACTGCGGACTCTGAACACACAACATTTTTATACATCCGTGTTCATGAGCCCTAAAACGATCCATTGGGAGTCATGCTGCTGACTCTGTCCCAGAACCATGCGGACACCATCAGGAGCTCAGGGAACCCCCAGGAACCTCAGGAGGAACCATGGCTGGTCTGGATTACACTGTACACGCAATGAACCTGCTGTTATAGCACCATCATGCGGCCAAAACCAGACACTGCAGATGACATAAAACCACAAAAGGGAAAAACAAACAAACAAACAAAAAAAAAAAACACAAATATTTATTTACAAGTCATCAGCAACATACACATTAATTACAATACTGGTTACATCCAGAGGACTGAAAGGAAATTGTTGGGAGAAAAATATTAGAACCTATCATTAATGGCGTATCTTGCTTCATTCCAAGGGCTTCCTTCCATCTCCTTCCTCACTGAGTGGAGCTTCTCTTAAAAGTGAAAGTTCTGCTCTTCCTTCCCCTCCCTTTCTCTCCCATTATTGAAAGTTTTTTTTTTTTTCCTTTCTGGCAGTAGGTCATTTTGTCTGATCGGTACTCACTCCTACTTCCACACTTTCTTGCCTAGGCAAGCATTGCAGAATTCTCGGCGCCCGCGCCTCCCACAACCTCCTGGAACAAGTCACATGTCCCAGGAGGCTGCGGGAAACCAGTCTGAAAGCACAGTGTGGAGCCGACTGTGAACTAGCAAAGAAGTCAGTCGGCTTCCCACAGCAAAGATGGTGGCGCCAGGGATCCGCAGATCAGCAAAGAAGCAGCCCGGGTGACGACAGCTCTGGACTCCTTGGGCTGGTAAGTGTCCTTGTAGTAAAAGTCAGCAGTTACGGTATGCGTAGAACAGAAATATAATATATTGCACCTTACCGGGTCTGTAATGCAGGCCATAGACGGGTCGAAAACCGGCCATTGTTTTAAAAGAAGAAGAAAAAAAAAAAAATCGGTCATTCAACAGGCCGACGTTACCAGCAACGGTAAAAAAAAATCGTCCAATTTTCGTCTCGTCTACGGCCGGCATTTAATTACTTCTGTCCCTTGCAGAGAGCTCCACTATTATATTTGACATGAAAAAGTCTTGCGGTTGCAACAATGTATCCATTTGTGTCCATTTCAGATACAGATGTTTTTATTCGGATACAAATAGATACATTGTTTGCAACCGCAAGACTTTTCATGTCAAATATAATAGAGGACTGGAATTCTTTTTCTTCTTCTTCTTCTTGCAGGTCACGGCTCATGCGCAATTTTTTATCGGCAAACGATTGGCCGATTTGCCCATCATTGCTGGAAAAATCGCCCGATTTTTTTCCAACTTTACCAAGAAAAAAAATGTGCCAAAACCCGAAAAACAGCCGACCAATTAACCCACTAACGGTGCGAAAATCGGCCGAAAATCGGACGAAAAAAATCAGCCGATTTTCGACCCATCTATGGCCTGCATAAATGTGGGGGCTTTTTATTTCTTTATTTTCCTGTCAGTATCGCTTCTTGTCCTAGCGTGACCACATTATCACCCAAGAACAGGACTACAGGACCCCAACATCCCCCTTTCCCATAAACATAGTATTCTGTAGTCCACCGAGAGCTGGGAACAGTGTAACTGATAAGTCAGCCTGAGCAAAAAAAAAAAAAAGACAGGAATTTAGCAGCTCACAAGATTTCTGGAAGGACCCCCCCCCCCCCTCCGCCTTTCAAATATAGTGTGCATCAGGGGCGGACTGACAAATCATGTGGCCCCCGGGCAATAGGGGATCATGGGGCCCCTGTGTCCTTGCCCAAACTCAAAAAAGCCTATTAAAAAGGTACCAGGGGCATCTCATGGGGCCCCCTACTGACCCCGGGCCCTCGGGCAGTGCCCGAGTTTCCAAATGGTCAGTCCGCCCCTGGTGTGCATTTAAAAATATGTAAAGCCAACCTTTCATTTTCCTGATCTGTGCCTACTATATCATGTACTTGGATGAAGAAGTCTCCTGTTCTCTTTGTACTGCCTCGTGTGAAGTCCCGGGTGTTCCTGCCAGTCCCTCTGCTTTCCTATTAAAAATCGACCACACTAGGCAGGAGAACACAGTGTGGTCAGTTCCCTAACTGTGCTGGGAGCTCAGCCTGCTCTCCTCCAATGAACAGACTTGTCCTAACACTCCCCTCCCCCTGCACAGCCATTCACTGGGGAGATCATTGTGCCGTTGTTTCTCCTCTTCAACTCTTATGCAGCTGGAAACAGAGGCAATGTGATCACTTATAAAAAGGGAGAAAAGGGTATTTATAGTTTTTTTTTTTTTTTTAATCACTACACAGATGTTTTGCCTTTCGATTTCTATTTTACTCTGAATAGGTTGTTTCACAAGGTGAGGGTTTACATGTACTTTAAATCATGCTGGAAACGTTTGATGGGATGGCTAACACTGAAGATAACCTCATCCCTTCTCTTGGTGTCTGCACCTTCTCTCAGCTAAAGGGAATCTAGATACAGATTATTTTTAAAAGTGTTACTAAACCCCCAACAGTACAATCAGTCTGTAGATGCAGGAAAGCATGCTTGTTATACTCACTGTGGAGCCTAAGGGGTTAATCCCCGCATTGTGATTTGATCCTGACTTCTCTGATCCTCCCCTTCTTCTACTGTCCCCAAGCCATCTGCTGATAGTAGAGCTCAAGGAGTCACTGTGTGCTTGCTCAGTTTGTTGTGCATTTTTTTTTCTTTGGGAGAGTGCATGTGATCAGCACAGAGCCAATCAGCACTGTCCAGACAGAGGGTCAGGGGTCATGTAGCCTCATAGGACAGTCAGAGCAGAATGAAAACTCCTTCTACTAGCTTTAACCAGTGCTTGGCCAGACTGCTCTATACTGCTGATGAGAAAAAGTATTTACAAGTTTATATTTACTAAAATAATCACACTTCCATTTTGTGTGTACTGTGGGAGACCGGACATAGCGAACGCGGGGTCTGGGGAGAGCGGACACAGCGAACGCGGGGTCTGGGGAGAGCGGACACAGCGACGCGTCCGGGTCTGGGGAGAGCGGACACAGCGAACGCGGGGGTCCGGGGAGAGCGGACACAGCGAACGCGGGGTCCGGGGCGAGAGCGGACACAGCGAACGCGGGGTCCGGGCGAGAGCGGACACAGCGAACGCGGGGGTCCGGGCGAGAGCGGACACAGCGAACGCGGGGGTCCGGGCGAGAGCGGACACAGCGAACGCGGGGGTCCGGCGAGAGCGGACACAGCGAACGCGGGGGTCCGCGAGAGCGGGGAATCCGGCGAGAGCGGACACAGCGAACGCGGGGGGTCCGGGGAGAGCGGACACAGCGAACGCGGGGGTCCGGCGAGAGCGGACACAGCGACACGCGAACGCGGGGGTCCGGGGGGAGAGAGCGGACACAGCGAAGCGCGGGGGTCCGGGGAGAGCGGACACAGCGAACGCGGGGGTCCGGGGAGAGCGGACACAGCGAACGCGGGGGTCCGGGGAGAGGGGAGAGCGGTCCACAGCGGACACAGCGAACGCGGGGGTCCGGGGAGAGCGGACACAGCGAACGCGGGGGTCCCGGGAGAGCGGACACAGCGAACGCGGGGGTCCCGGGAGAGCGGACACAGCGAACGCGGGGTCCGGGGAGAGCGGACACAGCGAACGCGGGGTCCCGGGTTTAGTAACACTTCAAGCTATACTTCATTCCTATCCGCTTCATTCAGCCTCCTGCTCGGTGGTGTTACATGGTGGATGCGATTTATAGTTCCTCTATTAGAAGGCAAATCTTGCATTCTGCTCACACTCACCTAACCCAAAGCTACATAGGAGACTCCCCAGATCACAGCACAGAATACAACCACAATACAGAACAGCAAGCATGTACAAAGTGAAGGTCACATCACAAATTACTTTTCAGGTATACTGTACAATCATGATGCAGACCATGTAACCACAATACCTACTTGAGTGTTTCCTATTAAAATATCTGTTGAATATCCTGAAAATGAAATTGGGCAATCCGAGAAAACATGTCAGAGAACGATGTGACTGCTCAAAGGGACATTTGGCAAATGGTACAACAATCGGGCAATTAAAGGGTTCATTTTCTTTCCCTAAAAATGTCCTCCGGTTCAGGCGGCAATCTAGAGTTGTTCCCCGCTGTTCCTTGCCTCTGCCACAGGCTATCCTCGGTCTTCCAGGATGAATAAAGCTGAGGCCAAGCAGGAAGACTGAGGACATACCATGAGTGCGGGGTCGTCACCCTGGTGCCTTGTATTCACTGTGTACCTGTGCAGAGGCCATCAGCCCTTCTCTGTGCACCGATGAAGCCTGGCCGGCTCTGAGAAGAGGAAGAGGTAGGGGCCCCTGCAGCAACATTCGGCTGGACTGGACTGGACTCAGAAAAAGGAAGATATGGATTAAAAAGAAGAACAAATGCCTATGGGGGAGGAGGTGGGAGAGAACAAAGTTTGGAGATTCCCTCCATCAGAAGTCTTGACTGCTGTGCCTTCCACATTCCAGGTGATGGCGCATAAACATTCAAGACACCGTTCGCTGTTCTTTTGCTGAATCACGACAACCTGTATTGGCACCAGACAAGGTCCATCAGACATCGCCTTCCCCACCAGACACAACTATACCCCCAATATTGGGCTTAGAAACCCTGTGCCTTAGCCCATATTGTGGACGAAACGCGTCAGTGCAGAGCCAAGCCTGGCTTAGAAGCCAATGTCTAACTGCCCTTGTCTGGCGCCAATAAAACTTGTGATTCATCAAAGAGCACGGAAGAGGACAGCCTGAATGTTTAAACGTCTTGAGGGGAGAAGGCAGATCTCGGAGACCCGTGCATCGGTGGTTGGTTGCTGCCACGAGGTTGCCTTTGTAAATGTTTTTGTTCCCGATACGGGTGCTGTTCCTGGTGAACATGGCCATCCATGGGATATATACAACCCAATGAGGCTCTGTGTCCCCACCATACTTGGAGTCAGTCTTCCAGTTATGTGGTACTCTGAGTCAGAGACGGGTATCTTCCGCTAGCTCAGTATTTCCTCTGTCGGGGGAAGATGGCGGAAGAGCGTTTTGGGGTGGGTACAGAGTCCGGGTCCATATCAAAGAGGTCACGGCCCGTTTTCAGGATCTGCTCTTCAATCTTCTTGTGGCGCTTCATGTCAGAGAGAACCTTATCCAGCCTGGCCTCCCTCTTCTGGCTGCTCCTCCCTGAGGAAGAAAGAGAACCATTATTGGATGTTCCATCTAAAGTCACATTTTACAGCAAATCAGGTTACTGACAGCAACACAATCATGGCTTCTCCTACAATCCCTGCAGGAGGAGACAAAATACTAATGGAGCGGATTATGCCATATAAAATCTATCAGTTTCAGAAAAAAAGGGGCTGATCAGAACTTACTTTATTTCTTAAAAGCCTCTATTGATTTTTCATTGAGAATAGATTACATACAGGCAGCACATCTTAGATGAACTCTGCCTCCATCATGTCACATTCACCTGAACCTCCGTCTTCACCATGGCACATACTGCCAACCATTGGCCTCCATCATGTCACATTCACCTGAACCTCCACCTTCACCATGACACATTCTGCCAACCATTGGCCTCCATCATGTCACGTTCACCTGAACCTCCGCCTTCACCATGACACATTCTCCCAACCATTGGCCTCCATCATGTCACATTAACCTGAACCTCCGCCTTCACCATGACACATTCTGCCAACCATTGGCCTCCATCATGTCATGTTCACCTGAACCTCCGCCTTCACCATGGCACATTCTGCCAAACATTGGCCTCCATCAGGTCATGTTCACCTGAACCTCCACCATGGCACATTCTGCCAAACATTGGCCTCCATCATGTCACGTTCACCTGAACCTCCGCCTTCACCATGGCACATTCTGCCAAATATTGGCCTCCATCATGTTACAATCACCTGAACCTCCACCATGGCACATTCTCCCAACCATTGGCCCCCATCATTTCATGTTCACCTGAACCTCCGCCTTCACCATGGCACATTCCGCCAAACATTGGCCCCCCTCATGGCACGTCACCTGAACCTCCGCCTTCACCATGGCACATTCTGCCAACCACTGGCCCCCATCATTTCACATTCACCTGAAACGGAGCCTTCACCATGGCAAATTCTGCCAACCACTGGCCTCAATCATGTCACGTTTACCTGACCTCCCTCCACCATGGCACATTCTGTCAACCATTGGCCCCCATCATTTCACGTTCACCTGAACCTCCACCATGGCACATTCTGCCAGCCATTGGCCCCCCTCATGGCACGGTTACCTGAACCTCTGTCTTCACCATGGCACATTCTGCCAATAATTGGCCCCCCTCATGGCACGGTCACCTGAACCTCCGACTTCACCATGGCACATTCTGCCAACCATTGGCCCCCATCATTTCACGGTCACCTGAACCTCCGCCTTCACCATGGCACAATCAAAACCATTGGCCCCCATCATAGCACGGTCACCTGAATCTCCACCTTCACCATGGCACAATCAAAACCATTGGCCCCCATCATAGCACGGTCACCTGAATCTCCACCTTCACCATGGCACATTCTGCCAACCATTGGCCCCCATCATGGCACGATGAACTGAACCTTGAACTCCATCATGACATGTAATCTGGTGAATCTACTACATCTGATGAAGAGTGCAGGACCAGTGAACACTACGGTGTCCTTTGCCTAGTAATATCTTCTCATGACGTGTTTCAACTTATTTTGGCCTTCAATATGGCACTTTCACTCAAACCTGGACCCTCCTCGTGCCACGTTCACCCAAACCTCAACCATGGAACATTCACCTGAACCTTGTTCTTCAATCATGGCATGTTCACCCGAACCTTGGCCTTCTATCATGACATGAGGTCTACTGAATCTACTACATCTGATGGAGGGTGCAGGACCAGTAAACACAAAGGTGTCCTGTGCATAGCAGTATCTTCTCATGACGTGTTTAGCTTATTCCTGGACTCCACCGTGGCACGTTCCCCCAAACCTCGGCCTCCACCATGGCACGTTCCCCCAAACCTCGGCCTCCACCATGGCACGTTCCCGCAAACCTCGGCCTCCACCATGGCACGTTCCCCCAAACCTCGGCCTCCACCATGGCACGTTCCCCCAAACCTCGGCCCCCACCATGGCACGTTCCCCCAAACCTCGGCCCCCACCATGGCACGTTCCCCCAAACCTCGGCCTCCACCATGGCACGTTCCCCCAAACCTCGGCCCCCACCATGGCACGTTCCCCCAAACCTCAGCCACCACCATGGCACGTTCAGCCAAACCTCGGCCTCCACATTATCCTCTCTCTATCTGGAATAGAGCCCTCTCTATCTATGGAGGAGACACTTCCCCACCCAGTCTATTATCCCCGTACATACCAGGCGTTCTCCTCCTGTCAATCAGTGCATTTTTCGGGGTGGATGGTTCATCGTCAAAGTCGAACTCAGTGGGAACATGTGGCCTGCAGAAGATAAAAAAAAGAAAAGCAAAAAATCTGTCACCTCTACAGAATACTACATATCCCACAATATACCTACCTGCAGTCGCCTTTCCTGGTCTTAGATGAATTATATAGCCACTCACCTCTCTTCCTCCTCCTCCTCTTCCTCCGGTTCCTGGTCAGACTCCTCATCCTCAGGATCCGGTTCCGGGGTCGGAGGCCGCCGAGCCAGGATGTCCACCTGAAGTGGTAAGCTCCCCTCGCTGGCGATCAGCTGGTACAGGCGTTTGATCTCCTCTGGCTGCGGCATCCAGCCCTCCGTCTCATCCACATCATCATCGCTGCACGGGATGCACCAGTCTTCATCGTCATCCTCATCCTCCTCATCCTGCCGCTCCTGTTCTTCCTCCTCCGCCTCGCCCTCTTCCTTCTTCCTCTCCTCCTCTTCTTCTTCTTCCCCCTCCTCCTTCTGCTTCTTTTCCTCCGCTTCTCCTTCCTCTTCCTCCTCCTCCTTCACAGCCAGGGACTCCATACCGGCCGTCACCTTCTGCTCTCCATCTTCCGAGGCCTCCTGCATCTGTGCGGGGACAAAATACAAGGACAGTCTGCTAGGACGGTATACTGCAGGCCTATTCCAATTCCCCTGTACCGCAAGGGGGGAAGCCGCAATGGGGTCACGGGGACAGGAAGCGAGGGGGGAAGCCGCAATGGGGTCACGGGGACAGGAAGCGAGGGGGGAAGCCGCAATGGGGTCACGGGGACAGGAAGCGAGGGGGCAAGTCGCAATGGGGTCACGGGGACAGGAAGCGAGGGGGCAAGCCGCAATGGGGTCACGGGGACAGGAAGCGAGGGGGCAAGCCGCAATGGGGTCACGGGGAAAGGAAGCGAGGGGGCAAGCCGCAATAGGGTCACGGGGACAGGAAGCGAGGGGGCAAGCCGCAATGGGGTCACGGGGACAGGAAGCGAGGGGGCAAGCCGCAATGGGGTCACGGGGACAGGAAGCGAGGAGGCAAGCCGCAATGGGGTCACGGGGACAGGAAGCGAGGAGGCAAGCCGCAATGGGGTCACGGGGACAGGAAGCGAGGGGGCAAGCCGCAATGGGGTCACGGGGACAGGAAGCGAGGGGGCAAGCCGCAATGGGGTCACGGGGACAGGAAGCGAGGGGGCAAGCCGCAATGGGGTCACAGGGACAGGAAGCGAGGGGGCAAGCCGCAATGGGGTCACGGGGACAGGAAGCGAGGGGGCAAGCCGCAATGGGGTCACAGGGACAGGAAGCGAGGGGGCAAGCCGCAATGGGGTCACGGGGACAGGAAGCGAGGGGGCAAGCCGCAATGGGGTCACGGGGACAGGAAGCGAGGGGGCAAGCCGCAATGGGGTCACGGGGACAGGAAGCGAGGGGGCAAGCCGCAATGGGGTCACGGGGACAGGAAGCGAGGGGGCAAGCCGCAATGGGGTCACGGGGACAGGAAGAGAGGGGGAGGCTGCAATGGGGTCACGGGGACAGGAAGCGAGGGATGGCCGCAATGGGGTCGTGGGGACAGGAAGCGAGGAGAAAGCCGCAATGGGGTCACGGGGACAGGAAGCGAGGAGAAAGCCGCAATGGGGTCACAGGGACAGGAAGCGAGGGGGAAGCCACAATGAAGTCACTGGGACAGGAAGTGGGGGGGGTGGGAAGCTACAATTGGGTCACAAGGACAGGAAGTTGGGGGAAATCTCCCTAATCGGGGTCACAGAACAGGGAGAGAGGGTGAAGCTACAATAGGGTCATATATAGAAATAAACACCCCTCCCTGAATCGAAAGCTGCAAACAAGAAGAGTTATAATATAAATACGTGCCAGTCATCCTATTATCACGACAAGGTCCTAAATAAGGGCCCCCAGGTATGATCAGTGCAGGGGCAGCCCTCTGTCACCTATACATATGATGGTGTCACTCACTGTGCGGTCTGACCTCCTCTTCTCTCTGTGGTCACGCCACCTTTCATCAGAGTACAGAAGCACCAGGATCCACCATGTTCCCTCCACTCTGTTTACCCGCCTGCTAATACCCGGCGTCACTTCCGCCCTTCTCCTCCAGCTGTCATCGGCTTCACCAGTACAAGCCCACTTCCTTACGTTGCGATACGCACAGCGGTCCGGGAAGTTTCTGCCATATTTTTAACTGGTCACAACGTTGCTGAGTAACTGCTGCCCACAGTAGCCATGGCGGCCGTATAAGTACTTTGTCACGTGATTTTACCATTTTTTTTAAACTGACCAATAGGGAGCAGTGTGCGTCCCAAGCCTCGATCTAGCGGAGCCTCGGCGTGCCACGTGACGGACCTACGGCCGCCCATTGGCTGGAAAGGAGGGAGGCCGCCAAATACGAATCCGGAGAGTGAGTAACCGATGGTGGGCCGGAGCGGCGGTGGGCTGTGAGTGAAGGAGAGCGGACACCGGGCCGGTAAATGGCAGCCTCGAGTGTGGGGGGGGGGAGGGAGACGGGTAGTCACTTGGCCAGTTGTCTTATAGACTATATATCACTGAGTATGTGTGTCATTCTATATACAGCACCTAAATACATATATATATATATATATATACACACATATAAATATGAGGGGATACACAGCCTGTGAGGTGACAACGTGTATATATCTATATACACACACTCTCTGTATACTGTGAGGTGACACACACACACACATATATATATATAAAATATAGAATGGGGTATGTAGCGCTAAAAAATACCAAACAAAGTGTCATCATATATCATCACAGAAGTATCAAGCATATATTGTTCATAAAGTGTATCCGGAGGGCAGACGGATAAGATCCTATGGTGTCCCCAATCCAACTTGACAGAACGGAAAATGTATATTATTATTATTATTATACAGTATTTATAAAGCACCAATGGTTCGCTCAGCGCTGTACATTACAAAGGGAGACAGAACATGTGACAGAACAATACCAATACAATGCAAAACATGAGGGGATCGAGGGCCCTGCTCCTTGGAGCTTACAATCTAGGAGGGAGGGGATGGTGGTACAGGAGGAGATAGCTGTGGGGGATGGAGTGGTAGGAAGAGTGGAGGAGGTCGGCAAGTTAGCAGGGGGTGGGGTAGGCTACCCTGAAGAGATGGGTTTTCAGGGTGCGCCTAAAGGAGAGGAGAGTAGGTGATAATCTGATGGGTTGGGGCAGGGAGTTCCAGAGGATGGGTGACACCCTGGAGAAGTCCTGGAGGCGGGCATGGGAGGAGGAGACCAGGGAACTAGAGAGAGGGAGGTCTTGTGAGGAGCGGAGTGTGCGTGTTGGGCGGTACTTGGATATTAGGTCGGTGATGTAGTTCGGGGCAGTATGGTGGACAGCTTTGTACGTCAGTGTTAGGATTTTGAATTTGATCCGTTGCGCAATCGGAAGCCAGTGGAGGGATTGGCAGAGGGGGGTGGAGGACACTGAGTGGAGGCCAGTGGAGGGATTGGCAGAGGGGGGTGGAGGACACTGAGTGGAGGCCAGTGGCAGTGGAGGGATTGGCAGAGGGGGGGTGGCGGAGATGGAGCGGTTGGAAAGGTTGAATGAGTCTGGCAGCCATATTCAGGATGGACTGAAGAGGGGATAGCCAGCGGCGAGGCAGGCCAGTGAGGAGGGAGTTGCAGTAGTCGAGTCGTGATATGATGAGGGAGTGGATGAGTTGTTTAGTGGTTTTTGGGGTTAGGAACGTGCGGATTTTGGCGATGTTGCGGAGGTGGAGTGCTGCATGAGTTTGTTAAAGATTGGACTTGGGGCTGGAAGGAGAGGTTGGAGTCCAAAATGACACCAAGTACTCTGGCCTGCGGGGCGGGTTTGATGGTGGCGTTGTTGGACATGATGGAGAAGTCAATGGGGGGTGGTGTCCGGGCTGGGGGGAAGACAAGAAACTCGGTTTTGGAGAGGTTCAGTTTAAGGAAGTGGAGCGACATCCAGTCTGATATGTCGCTCAACAGGTGTGTGATTCGGGCTGAGACCGAGGGGGTGAGGTGGGGGGTTAGAGAGATAGATTTGTGTGTCGTCGGCATAGAGGTGGTAGTTGAAGCCGTGAGAGTGTATGAGTTGGCCAAGGGAGGAGGTGTAGATGGAGAAGAGAAGGGGCCCGAGGACAGAGCCTTGAGGGACCCCAACAGAGAGGGGGAGTGAGGGGGAGGTGGTAGCATTATAGGTAACGCTGAAGGAGCGTTGTGACAGGTAGGATGAGAGCCAGGAGAGAGCAGAATCTCTGAGGCCGAGGGAGTGTAGTTTTTGAGGAGGAGGGGGGGTGGTCGACTGTGTCGAAGGCCGCAGAGAGGTCAAGGAGTAGGAGCACTGAATAGTGGCCATTAGCTTTGGCGGTTAGCAGGTCGTTGGGAGGTTTGAGTAAGGCAGTTTCGGTGGAGTGTAGGGGACGGAAGCCGGACTGTAGGGGATCGAGGAGGTTGTTGTCGTTGAGAGGTGGTGAGGCGGGCCTCAGAGAGGATCTTGGAGACTTCTTCAATGGTAGTAAGGTCAAAGGTGGAGTGTTGGGGGAGCTTCAGTATGAGGAATGTAGGGTGGGGTGGGGAGAAGAGGTCAGAGCAGTGGGGGGGCCGTGGGGGTGGGAGGGGGTGTAGAGGGGGTAGCTGAGTGAGGGGGAAGGGGGGTTGGAGGGAGTTTGAGCAGGGGGGTAGCTGTGTGAGAGGGGACGGGTTGAGAAGGCGTGTGAGTTGCGACGATGTCCTTGCGAATTGTGTCAATCTTGTTTTTGAAGTGATTGGCAATCTCAAAGGCAGTGAGTGAGGTGCTGGGTGGAGGTGGAGGTGGCAAGAGTAGAGAGTTGAAGGTGGAGAAGAGTCGGCGAGGGTTGGAGGAGAGGGCCTTGATGAGGGTCAGGAAGTAGGCTTGTTTGGCAGTATGGAGGGAGGAGGTGTAGGTGCGGAAGGCAGATTTGTATCGGGTGAAGGCTTGTGGGATTTGGTTTTGCGCCATAGTCGCTCCAGGGCACGACTGTGTCGTTTGAGGGTTTTGGTGTGATCAGTCTGCCAGGGCTGGAGCGGTCGGGGTCTGATGTTGCGTGTGGTTAAAGGCGCTAGTGAGTCAAGGGCTGTTGACAGCGCATTGTTGTAGGCGGTCAAAGCCAAGTCGGGGCAGGACAGGGGGAGGATGCGGTCGTGGAGTTGATCAGCTGCAGAGTGGAGGGGGGCAGGGTTAAGGTTGCGGAGGTTACGGCTGGTAGTAGTGTGACATTTGGAGGGGTAGGCGTTGGAGGACGAGGAGATAGAGAAGGTGATCAGGTTGTGGTCAGAGAGAGGGAAGGGGGTGTTAGTGAGGTTGTGGGGGAGCGCAGCGGTTGGAGAAGACAAGATCAAGGATATTACCGTTGGAGTGGGTGGTGGATTGTATGCACTGTGCAAGTGCAAAGGAGGAGGTTAAGTGGAGGAGACGGGCTGTGTCGGGTTGTCGAGGTTGACAGGGATGTTGAAATCCCCAAGGATGATGGTGGGTAGCTCAGAGGAGAGGAAGAAGGGTAGCCAGGAGGAGAAGTCATCCAGGAAGCAGGGTATGGATCCAGGAGGCCGGTATATCACAGCAATCTTTAGGGGGGTTGGGGAGAATAGTCGGACGCAGTGGGCCTCGAAGGAGGAGAAGGATAGGGAGGGGGGGTTTGGGAGGACTCGGAAGGTGCTCTGTGTGATAGGAGCAGGCCAACCCCACCACCTTTACGACCGTTGGGTCTGGGTGAGTGGGTCCAGGTGAGACCTCCATAGGAGAGTGCAGCAGGGGAGGTAGAGTCAGTGGGCTGGATCCAGGTTTCCGTGATCGCCAGGAGGTTGAGGGAGCGGGAAACAAAGAGGTCGTGGATGGCGGTAAGCTTGTTGCACACCGATCAGGGGCGTTCAGGAGTGCACATGAAAACGGGGGGGAGATTTTTAGGGAGCAGGGGGACAGATACTAAGTTGCGGCAGGACGTGGAGGCGGGAGGGTTTTGTGCGGGTGAGGGAGGTGGTGGAGGGCCAGGATTCGGGGAGATGTCCCCCGCGGTTATGAGGAGGAGAAGGGTGAGAAAGGTGGCATAGGAGCGAGATGTGCAGGAGCGTGAGAAACTACTAGTGGAGGTGTTGGGGTCAGTGGGAGAGCGGAGTAATAGGAGGAGGTGGTGGGTGCCATAGAGGGGTGAGGGAAGCAGTGAGGGCACAATATACAAATGTTTGGGAGGAGCAGAGGGATATAGTGAATGGATTTTGGGAACAGAGGAGAGGAAAATGAGAAGGAGGAGTGAAAGAGGCATTTTGGGGAGGTGATGAAAGCAATAGTAGGGAGATGATAGCAGTGAGGGGGAGATGTACAAGTTTTGGGGTGGAGCAGAGGGGTAAAGAAATGAGATTTGGGAACAGAGGATAGTAATATGAAGAGGAGAAGAGGGGTGTATTATATAAAAAGGTACACGGAGTGGGACTCAGGTATGTAAAAGATATTTCCCAGGGTGTTTCCTTGCAGTCTGTCCAGCAGAGTTTCTTGCTGTTGTTGTGTGTCTTCCTGCTGCTTTAGTTCAACTGCTGTGTTTAACTGCTCTGCACTCATTCAAAGCCGCACTCCATCATAAGCAGCACCCCCATCAGAGACTGTGCCCCCCATCAGAGATCTCCCCCATGAGCTGAACTAAATGTATAGGGAGATGCTCAAATGAGCATTCAACTCCGCCCCAATTAGAAGCTGATAAGGCTCACATGAATAGGGGGGGGGGGATGTTTCTTAGGAACCAGGCCACAGTCATAAACCTGAGTGCGCCTAGAGGTGAGGACAAGTCAACAGATACACAGATATAATTACAACATTTGTTGAGAATTTAACAGGAGTCAATGCGTTTGTCTGGTTAAGAGTGGAGGTAGCAGATAAATGGAGTTACCCAGAGAAGACCAGCAGGAGTCAATGCGTTTGTCTGGTTAAGAGTGTATATAGTATGTATATAGTGCGGTTATGCGCTTACCACAGATACATACAATATGAGCATTGTATGTAAATCAGCAACAGGACATCATGGTCTGGTCAGCAGCATGAGTAGCATCTGCTCATGTACGGACAT